TGCACACACATATACACATAACTGACTGCCCTCCCTGGAAGCACAGAAGAAGAAGAAGCTGCCAGAAGAAGAAGCCGCCCACCTTTGGTCCAGGTGCCAGCGCCTGCGGCTGGCTGCAGCCCAGGAGATGGACAAACCACCTGCCCGAGGTCCCAGGCTGCAGCACCTGGAGAAGCTGCCAGTCCTGTTGTCCAGGGCGCCAACACCTGTGGCCAGGGAAATAGGTTCCCTCTTCTCCTACTGCAGTCATTACTTCAATATTCCCCTTCTGAATTTCTCTCCTGTGCTGCAACCCAACTCCACTTTTCATCGGAAGGATACGGAACAGAGAGAGCAGTGTTAAAAGCTTACATTTTTAAGCTGGTAAGGTTGGTACTTAAACATATAAATGGAAAACTAGAGTCCTTAAGGTAACAAAGGCTACAAAGGACAGGGACAGCGCATGACCTATTATATCCAGCAATCCATATGGGGACTGAAAACTTTGTAATCATGACAATTAGTGAAGATATGAATCAACTAAAATAGTTGATAGGGACAATTCTTCAATCTTTGAAAATATCTACATAAAATCTGTTTAAATAGATTTTCATCTGCATAATATAACACATTCTGACAAGACCATCACCACTACCAATGTGGTCAGTGTTATGCCGATAAATGTTTAATAACTGCTCAAGTTAATTGAGACTCTAGAGTATGTGGGTTTAATTTTCTTCAAATTTGTAAAATTAGTTATTTTCTTTCAATGTTTTTTTTCTTTTTCTAATTCTCTCTTTCTGAGATTCTAGTTTATTATATGTTGTTTTTTTTCCACTGGTCACTTAAATTCTGTTCATTTTGTTTTCATATTGCTTTGTTTTTTTCATTAAACTTTTTTTGGAGATAATTTTAGGTTCATCTGCAGTTTTATCAGATAATATAGAGACAGCTCATGTACATTTTCCAGTTTCTCTCAATGGTGACATCTTGCAAAATTACAAAACAATATCACAACCAGGATATTGATATTGACACTGTCAAGATTTTCAGACCTTTTTTTTATTACCACAAGGATCCCTCATGTTGCCATTTAACAGCCATCATCACTTTCCTTTCATGCGTATTCCCTCCCTAACCCCTGACAAATACTATGCTATCCATTTCTATAATTTGTCATTTCAAGAATGTTATATAAATAGAATTACATAGTATGTAACTATTATGGATTAGCTTTTTTCACTCAGCATAATTCTCTGGAGATTCATCCAAGTTATTGCTTGTAGCAGTAGTTTATAGTATTGCATGGTATGAATATGCCAGTTTATTTATACATTTTTATCTGGATTGATGTCAGTTTTAGTGGTATTAATAAGGCTGATTTTTTTCTATTTTTTTAAGTTATTTTTTTACATTTAAGTTTTTAATCTATTTTTTTGTTAAGTTTTTGTAAGATCTGAAATTTAGGTCAAGATTTATTTGGTTGCCTATACATTTGTTGAAAAGGTTATCTTTCTTCATTAAATTGCTTTTGATAGTACTGGGATTTGCTGTGGGGAGGTTATATTTAGCCCTTTTCTGGAACAGTAACAACACCTTATAGTTAAAGACCTTAGGCATTAAGAAGGCATTAATGACAATAGGAAATTAAAGTAAGTTTAGAGAAAAGGTTCCCAGATGTAGTGGTTGATGAGAAAAGCATATCAAAGATAATTGAAATCTACTTTATAATCTTGCTTCTGGTAGAAACAATCCCTCATTTTTCAAGGGTAAGAAGAGACGTTACCTACTCATTGTCTTGAGAGCTGGTGATGGGGGATATGGATTAAAAATATCAAGTTTCTAATATAAATCTGGCTGTATAGGTCAACATCTTCTCACCCTGTGACAAAACATACAGATGCAATGAAGGAAGCAAACAAAACCAAAAAGGTCCAGCAAGGATGGAGGAGAGGGTCAAATGTGGGGGCAGATTGAATCTGTAGACTTAAATTTAAGAGTTACATAGAGAACTGATATTAGGCAGAAGCAACAAAAGTAGGAAAAGATAGGGAAAGGTAAGAATAAAAGGAAAGCAAATATAATTATTAGTATAAAATTCATGGACTAGAGAATAGAAAAATAAGAAAGTTAATATAACCCAAAATTGGTTCTTTGAAAAGATAAATAAAACTGACAAACCTTTAGCTAGAGTGACAAAGGAAAAAAAGAGAGATGACTCAAATTATTTAAAATATGAATGAAAGAGGGAACATCACTACTGACCCTCAGGAAATAAAAAAGAGAATAAGGTAACACTGAACTGTATCACAACAAATTGGATGACTTAGATGAAATGAACAAGTTCTTAGAATGATAAGAACTACTGAATCAGACTTCTAAAAAATAGAAGATCTGGTTAGACGTATAATAAGTAGAGAGATAGAATTAGTAATTTTTAAAACTTTCCATTAAGAAAAGCTCAGACCCAGATGGTTTCAATGGTGAAATATTCCAAGCATTTAAAGAACAATAAATGTAAGTTCTTCACAAATTATTTCAAAATGTAGAAAAGGAGAGGACACTTCCCAACTCATTCTATAGGGCCAGTATTATTGCCCTGATACAAAAACCAGACAAGGATTTAATAAAAAAGAACACTGCAGACCAATATGAATATGAATATGAATATAAATCCTATATAATAAAAGACTAATATGCAAATTTAATTCATTCCATGACGAAGCTCGTAACTCAAATTACTCGTATGTCAAATCAATTGTGAACGAGTGAGACACGTGATGCTGGGCTGATGTTGTGGAGTTCACTGTGCCGTTCGCTGCACCAACTAGTGGTGGGGTATCTGAAGCTGGCTCGTAACCTGAATTTTAGCTCTCAACTCAAAGCAAAAAATCAGCCAAGAGACAGCTCGTATCTCGAAAAACTTGTTAGTCAGGACACTGGTAAGTCAAGGCCCCACTGTATAATAAAAGACTAGTATGCAAATCGACCAAACAGCAAAATGACCAGTGGCTTTGATGTGCACTGACCACCAGGGGGCAGACGCTCAATGCAGGAGCTGCCCCCTGGCGGTCAGTGTGCTTCCACAAAGGGAGCGCTGCTCAGCCAGAAGCCAGGCTCAAGGCTGGTGAGCACAGTGGCAGTGGTGGGTGCAGGCTGGGCTGAGGAACCCAGTGCACTAATTTCGTGCACAAGGCCACTAGTATAAATATAAATATCCTCAACAAAATACAAGGAAACCACATCCAACAATATATAAAATGGAATATTCACTATGATCAAATAGGATGTTTCTCAGGAAAACAAGGTCAGTTTAATATCTAAAAATCAGTTGATGTCATATACCATATTGATAGAATAAAGGACAAACACATATTATCATCTCAATAGATGCAGGGGGGGGAAAACACACTAAAAAATCAAATATCCTTTTGTGGTAAATATAACTCAATGAACTAGAAATAGAAGAGAACTTTTTTAATCTGATAGAAGAAACCTATAAAAACACACAGTGAACATTATACTTAATTAGGGAAATTTTCTACCCAAGATCAGGAGAAGACAAGAATCTGTTCACACCACTTCTTTCAACATTGTACTGGAAGTTATAGCCAGAGCAAAAAGGACAAGAAAATAAAATAAAAATCACCTCGATTAGAAAGGGGGAGTTAAAATATCTCTATTTGGTGATGAAATCATCTTGTATGTAGAAAATATTAAGGAATCCACTGACAAAAATATTAGAACTAACAAAAAATTCATCAAAGTTGCAGGAAATAAGGTTGACATATAAAAATCAAGTGGATTTCTATGCACTAGCAAAGAACAATCTGAAAGTAAAATTTAAAAAAAAAGCAGTTCTATTTATAATAGCATCAAAAATAATAAGATGAGTAAGAACAAATTTAATAAAGCAATGCAAAAATTATATACTGAAAACTGTAAAACATTGTTGAAATTAATTAAAGACCTAAAATAAATGGAAATACTCTTCCTAATTGGTCTGCATATTCAACTCAACCTCTCCCTACGTAAAAGCAAGGAGCAAAACAATGTCTATTGTATCTGAGATAATAGATAGATAGATAGATAGATAGATAGATAGATAGATAGATAGAGATGATAGATAGATAGATGGATATTTGTATTACTTATATTTTCATAGTCTGGAAGGATTTACAAGAAATGCATGAAAGCATTTATCTATGGTAGTGATTGAAGGGGAGAATGTGGAGATAAGGTAGCTTTATACATTGTTTTGCTCTTTGTATTGTGCATTATATTTTTTACATATGGGGGACTGCAGTCCCACCCTAGCAGCCTTTAATGTAGACAAGGCTGGATTCCCAAAGTCAGACCAGAATCACTTCACCCATAAATTCGGTAAGCTCTGTGTGGAGATGTTCCTGATAGGATGTGTGGCTTCACATTAGTTTGGATATTCAGAGACTATAACTAATACTAAGACGGGAGCAAGTGAGGGAGAGAAGGAGGCCAGCTGGCTAATTCCAGAGGGATCTGAACTTCTTTCTTTCATTTCCATGGCAGCTGTAGCTAAGAATTGACCCTGTCTCTCCAGTTGGCCTTGTCTCACACAGTGAGGCAGAGAAGGTCTAGAGGTGGTAAAAAGGTTTGTGTAAGGATGATTCTGCTGCTCAAAGTTGTAGAAAAGATGGAGAGAGAAGGTGGGGGAAGAGCAAAGGTGTATGGAGGATTTTCTGCTGACTCCATTTAACTTTGGGCACCAGGTATACTTTTGGGAAGAGTGAAATTAAGCTACTTCTTCTTTGGCCTTGATCCGTGTTTTGATTTGTTCAGACTTTGGAGTTCAGGTCACACAGTGGGAAACGTTTTGATGGATTAGTTGCATCTAAAGTGGGAAAGAATTTTCAAGTGTCCTCACCATCTTTAGGTGAGAAAGCCAGTGGCCCCATTCCCTCTTTACCTTTCTCCACCCTTCCACTCTATATAACTTTCTCAAGTTAATTAATTGCAAACTATCTCTGCTTAATTGCTTTTAGAGATGGACCCCTGCACAGGTGCGAATGGATGTGCCCACATCTGTCAGAGTGAGAATGGAGTGGCCAGGTGTGCCTGTCACCCAGGGTACCAGCTGTCTGAAGACAAAAAGGCCTGCAGAGGTAGGAAAATGAGTCTGATAGCTTAATTATGTAATTGTTTGAAATTGTGTGGTAATGTAGTTTGAATAGTTAGAGCAGCTAGGAGAAAGGTGTTTTCATTTATGCTTAAAAAGGAACATTTGTGTTCTTATTTGATCATTCTGAAAAGTATTTTATGATACTATAAAAACTCAGAGACATTTTAAATTACAAAGAAAAGGTCTGGGGTAGCTTCAGAATTAATGTGTTCTGGTTTCTCTTTCTCATTTTGAAGTGAGTTCCAGAATTAATATTTCAAAACCTTCCATAACCACATAGGGAAGTTTTTCATTTTATTTTAGGCCACAGGAGGTATGGATAACCTTTGAAAACCAAGTATGTCCAAAAGTGTTCTTAGAGTTAGGGACAATTGAAACAAAAAAAGGAAGAAAGGGAAGGAAGGAAGGAAGGAAGGAAGGAAGGAAGGAAGGAAGGAAGGAAGGAAGGAAGGAAGGAAGGAAGGAAAGAAGGCAAGCTACAAATTCAAGGTTACATAATTCTGTTTCCTAGAAATAACAAAACAGCCATACTTCAATTCAAAGATGAAGAGATAAATTATTTGATGACCAGAACTGACAAATGAAGTTATTCCTGTGGGACAGTGTTTTGTTTTAATAACTTCTGAGAAATTGCAGAATCCTTCATTTTATCATAACATTTTCATGACATGAGAAATGGTATATTTGGATTAATTATAAAAATATCAAAACGTTTCCTGACTTATGGGACTGATAAATATTTTGAGAAAATGAAAAAGTATTAAAGAGTGGCGTTAGGTGTGTTTTTTTTTTCTTTAAGCCAAAACTAAGATAAAATTTTCTATGGACTGTGTTAACACACTTTTCTGTCAGAAAATGTTTCTGTTTTGTCCTCTGTTTACATAGGACCTGCCTCTCTCAGCACCTGGTACAAAATAGGATATGTTAAATATTTATGGGAAATCGACAGATATATACATATATAGATATGTGCATACACCTATATCTATATATATAAAATCTCTTTAAAAGTTTTTATGTAAAACCATTCTTCTTAGAAAGTCTATCCCCCTAATTACTGCCTACTTAGGGTTTTACATAATGGGCATTTCTCTTAAGTGCCCTGGTACAGATGACAAGGAGGACCTTCTAGTAGGGAAAAATGATGGTGAGATCTATTCATCTAAAGGGAAGGAGCAAGGACTACATGGGCCACAAAATGAAGTGACACTGAATAGACTTGGCTCTCAGTGTCAGGAGAGAGGGCACCACTGTTTAAATAGCACAGCCTAGGGACAGTCATAAGTACAACATATATTGTAGATTGCTACATATGAAGGCCTCAAACCTGCCTTATCTATGGCCACACGTACTGACTACCTTAAATCAGGGAAATATAATATTTGGTTATGAATATGATATATATTCCAAAGACAAATTGTAATGACTTCTACCTATATTATTAGGAGATAGAGAATGTCTATATTTTTTATTTGTGTTCTTTTCTCTTTCTACCAATTAATAAATACTAGTAGGTTATAATAGAAATAAGTGTTTGAGAGCATAAGCCTACACTAGAATTAATGTCATTAGCAGTTAGTTTATTTGTAAATATGGATTCATTGGGATATTTTACTGTTACACTGGACATGGGAGCGGAAGGGGAGGAATGCTTTAGTTAATGTTTGTAGTTTACACATAAATCAGAATTCAACCTCCAAAGACAGCCACTGTGTGTTTCTCTCTCTGCAGACATAAATGAATGTGCAGAAGGGCTTGCTCACTGCGGCCATCGCTGTGTGAACTCAGTGGGATCTTTCACTTGTGCCTGTCACCCTGGCTCTGAGCTGGGAGCTGATGGAAAACGGTGTTACAGTAAGTGGCAGCAATCACAGCCCTGGGAATGTGTGACATTTGACAAGTATTAAACAAGAGTAATGAAAGAACAACACTGAATATCTTGCCAATGCAAAGCTCCTGAGAATGTTTGCCACTGGGATGCGGTAGGGATGAGAGCTTAGAAGTTCAAACCCCAGAGTCAATAGAAAATATGTAGAATCTAAAAAACAAAATAAATGGATGAACAAAATAGATCCAGAGACATATGGAAATAGAAATATGGAACAGACTGTTGAATCGCAGAGGGATGGCATGGGGTGGGTGGGAAGCAACCAATCAAATAACTTATATACATACTAGAGGCCTGGTGCATGAAAATTCGTGCACTCAGAGGGGTCCCTCAGCCCAGCCTGCACCTTCTCCCAGTCCCAGACCCCTCAGGGGATGCCCACCTGCCGGCTTAGGCCTGCTCTAAGCTGGCAGTCAGACATCCCGCCCCAGGGGCCCTTGGGGGAATTTTTCCCCATGGGTTCGGCCCGTTCCCCATGGGGAGCGGGCCGAAGCCATCAGTCAGACATCTTTAGCACTGCCGAGGAGGTGGAAGAGGCTCCCGCCACTGCCGCTGCACTTGTAGCCTTCAGCCCAGCTTGTGGCTGAGCAGAGCTCACCCTGTGGGAGCACACTGACCACCAGGAGACAGCTCCTGCTTTAAGTCTCTGCCCTCTGGTGGTCAGTGTGCATCATAGCAGCCGGTCATTCCCAGGTCGTTCTGCCATTACGGTCAATTTGTGTATTACCCTTTTATTATATAGGATATGCATAACCCTTGGACACAGTCAATAGTGTGGTGAAGGCCTGAGGCAGGGGCAGGTGTGGGCTAGAAGGGGTCAATGGGGGAAAAAGGGGGCATCTATAATAATTTCAACAATAAATATAAATTTTAAAAAAATAAAAGAAAATGGTCAGCATAGTGACACCCAGTGTAGTCAGCAAGGGCTAAGTCTCAAGTCCTCTGACATGGAGCTCCCTTAGACCCATGGCTCTCCCTGTGAAGAGCCTGCCTTTCTTCATCCCTTCTGCCACACAGTATTTATTGAACTCTAGTAATTATAAGGAAAAGCTCAAGGAAAAGGAACTAGTAGGAGGGAAGGAACCAGCAGTACAAGGAGCAGCTCTAGCTTGTAGCAAAATATCAGACACACTGGATGCTGTAAAGAGTACCTTGCCTGTCAACCCTTTTCTGTTCTCCCTATTTTTTATTCCTTTCTCTCATGCCTCTTTAAGCATTTCCTTCCACTTTTGCATTCTCTTTCACTGCCTCATCCTCTGCTCCTGTGATCTATGTCATCTAATCTTTGCTTCTTTCTCACCTAGGCTCAGTTATATAATGTAATGTATCCCTTACTACAAATATATTAAAATGTTAATGAGCTGAATTATTAGCTGCTGTTAATAGCTCTTGCAGCTATTTCCTTCTCTCGTGTCTTCCCCACTGGTCTGCTGATTAATCTATAGAGGAACACACTTTCTACTTAACTAACTTTAAAACCATCTGATACAGATTCCTTCATATTTCATGTTCTCTGCCTCAATATTTCCCATCCTCACCCACCCTCTTCTTCCCCTCTTCTTCTTCAAATGACAGAATAATATGCTTTCTTATTTCTTTGTATGCTTTCCTTATCTCTGGCTCTCATGTGATCATGGTATATCAACAATTTCTTATTCTTCCTTATCTTCATCCTCTACCTTTTTTCTCAGTGACTTCTTCCCTTCCTTCTCCACTTCACACCTATACCTTAGCAGAAGAGTTTTGCTAGGTTTAAAACACAACCATGTTAATTGGCTTTATTTGAAATTCATAAGTCTCAAATGAGTCAGCCACATGGCTGGACAAAACTATACTATGGAATATGTCCACTTTCATCACCATCAAAACCAATGTTGAATATTTCCTTTCTCTTCTAAATCTTTATATCACCCTTTTGCCTTTATTCTTACCTTATCTCTGATGTTATCAATAAAATGGTCACCAACCATGATTCAAGCTACCAACTGTTTTGAAATTGCTCATAGAATTATATGGAGAAGCCTTGACTCCATTGCTATGAAGGAAGTGGAACTACTGCTATCAAAGACTGTCTTCTCCATTGTACTTTGGATTCCATTTCTTCTCATTATCTGAAGATCCCTGCTGGTGCAGTTATCTAGTGGGTCATTCTCAGCAGCTTGTGAACATACTCCAATAGCTCCTATCCTGGAAGTATACTCTGACAGGCCTACATGCCACCGGAGCCTTCATCTGATCACCTTCACAGCAAATTTTTTATAACATTGTCAATGTCTCCTCTTCATCTTATATTGTCTCATCGTCTCAGATTAATCAGATTATCACCTCTACCTCAATATGGTCAACCAGGACCTCTGTGTTACCAGACTGCCTGTTACCTTCTCTGCTTTTATACTATCTGACCTCTCAGCAGCTTCCAACACAGTTGACTAACCCCCATTCTTCTTGAAATACTTTCTTCTCTTCCATGTGTTCACACTATTGAGGTTTTCTCTCCATCTTTGGCCACTCTCTCAATGTTAAATTTATATTTCCACTTTTTTCTTTAATTACTTGTGAATATGCCAAACTATGTACTCAATATCTCTATTTACTTAACTAATAAGCATTGCAAACTTGACCCCAAACAAACCGCTGATTTCTAGTCTCAGTTCCTTAGATGCTCTTCCCATTTCTCCACAACTTAGTGAACTATCTATTTAATGTTGAAGCCAAAAAGCTAATGATACAAAATTAGTAAGTGAGAACTGGGACTTTAACTGGGGTCTTTGGGCTCCAAACATACTATCCTTTCAACTTCATCATATATTTTTATACATATATCTTTCTATCAATTTTAATTAATGGAGAAGAGTAAAAATAGTGATAAATAGAATAAATAATTTCATGTTTTTTACCTAAGCTCTCTCGTGAACAGACATACTTAGAGTCGCCAAATTCTTCATTTTCCTCCACTGCATAAAATTCTATGTTTCTTTAATGCCTGGGTCATCAGTGAAGTCTTAAGGTCTGTTGCTATATTTCCACTGCTTAAAGACAGTGCAATTTTGCTATGGTGATATGTCTTCTAAAGAACAAACTAAATAAAATTTACTAATAATTAGGATACAACTTCTTCTGAAGTGAGCCTTTTGCTTAATGCCCTGAGGCAGAGAAATATGGATGGGTTTTTTCTTATTATTAATATTTTGACTTTTTAATGTGGCCAGGAACATTTTACAAATATCTGAAATAAAATCTCTTGTAATATGACTGGTGCATTCTCAGTTATCATGAAAGAGGGGGCCAGTATTAATGAGTTATGAGTTAAAGGCTTTCTATAGAATTTACTTGGGAAAGCAGTTTACCCTAGAGTTGAATACATTTGGTTGAAGTGTGGTTTTAGATTTGTTTTTCTTAAGTGAATATTTGGCTAGCCAAATTCTTTGTGCAGCTCTCACCAAGCTTCAATATTTACTAACTGACATACAGAACTTTCTTGATAAAAACTAGTATTTTGAGTTGTTTCAAAATCTGTAGGTGGAGTAAATGTTTTGAGAGCATGGTAATGTTTAACAATGAATTATGTGCTCTTTATATAGCACGTATATTTTAGGAAAATATTGTTTTAACATTTTACTAGGAAAATAATATTGTATATTTATATAATCTCTTCTCAGAGGCTCTCACAACATCAGATCCCCATGGTGCACTGGACATGAACTATCACTATTTTATGATTAGAAATTGGTTAAATAAGACTTCCCCAAATTTCCAAGCGATATGTAGTTTAACTTAAATTTAATGCATTTAAAGAGATATAAAGAGAGAGTAAATAATAATTACTTTTTACCTATGAGAAACTACAAGAGTCATTTTAAAAAGTATTTTAAAGTGAAAAATTTTAAGTACTATGGTTAAACATCATCATCTGTATCAAGGACACAAAATCTTAGCTTACTTCTATTGAGCAGTTATAGATCTGAGTATACCCTTGTTTTAGTCTCATCCTATCTAATAAAGAGGGAATATGCAAATTAACTGTCACACAGTCACAAAGATGGCGGCGCCAATAGCCAAAAGATGGTGGTGCCCAGTCCACTCAGCCCCACTGGAGTCCCCCAGTCCTTTCAGCCCCGCCGGGGGGATGGCAAGCATGCAGTGCAGCCAGACCCGCCCTCAGCCCCCCAGCCACCCAGGGCTGGCCCGAGGTGCAGGCAAGCCTCGGATATTGACTGCCCAGCCACCTAGGGCTGCCCAAAGCTCAGGTAACCAGGGCCGGCCGAGGCTTCCACTGCCGTCAGTGGCAGCAGCAGAGGTGTGATGGGGGCATCACCTTCCCCTGATCACTAGGTCACCTCCTGCCCCTGAGGGCTCCCGCACTGTGAGAGGGCGCAGGCTGGGCTGAGGGACCCCTCCACCTCCAGTGCATGAATTTTCATGCACCGTGCCTCTAGTATATATTTATATTTTAATGGTGTTATAATAATATTATTTATAATTAAACTAAAGTATTACCAGAAGTCTTAGAGCTGCATTGATCACAGAAAAATAACAAGAATAGGAACCAAAATTTGAAAGATGTCTCCCTAAAGAGTATATGTTAACATATCATGAAAAATCAGTTTCTTTTATTATTTCAATCTTTCCTTTAGCTTTCTAATTTTTCTCAGACCTAAAATAGCTATTTCTAAACCCAAAGGGCTTCTTATTTTCAGCAATAAATTGATTAGCATAATTCTTTTTGTTTATTCAATTATTCAAAACCTATTTTTGAACATCTGCTATCAGCTTGGTAATAGAGGATAATGATGGCATGAAGGGAGGTGCTCTGGGACACATAGGGCAGCTGCTCCTATAGCCTGGAGGCCGGGGATGAGGGAGGATCATTTCTATACTGTAACTGTACAGGAACTATAGCACATACCTAGGCAGTTTCAATGGGAATATAGACTTTCAGGGAGTACCACAATCCCAAGTACCCTTGCTGTTCTTTCTCATCTTCTTTTAAAAGATTAAGGTATTAATAATGGAAGGAAATGAATCAACGTAGACATTCTCATTAATAAGAGTTTCTGTCCAAGCAACACAAATGAAGAACAATAGAGGACAAGGATAAAAATAGCAGAGTACCTACATTCCATACTTTTAACAATGATTCAAAGCATTTTTAAATTTCTCTTTTCCTCACTTAGAAAATGATTGATTATAATGCCTTTGTGCTCAGTACAATTGGCATCCATATGGTGAATTTGATGTCACCCAAAATGCCCCAAATTAACATGTACTGGGATCAGCAAATTGGTTTTCAGAGTAATAGTATGTTTGTATAATAAGTGACTTTCATATACCTCAATGCTAATTAGCACATTAAAATGACATTATTTAAATATGATCAGCTAATTCATTGGTTTTGTGTTCATACTTCTGTTTCAAGGCTATTTTTAACAGTATTTTCAAGTACTCCTAGCCTCTAGAAAGGACAGATAATAACATACCATTAGCGTGAGAACAGAAGAAATGTCAGCTGGCAGACAACCTCTGTGCTTTCTGATTACTGATTCAATACACATTTTTTTTATGTTCTGCAAAAACTGAGAATCCCCAAAGGTAAAGGTCATTTAAGATAAGTGTTTAATAGCCAGTGGTGGACTATTTCCCTTTCTACACCATTTTGTCAACTTAATATTACTTATAGGTTTATTAGTGTTTTGATATTGTATAGATATTTGCAATCCTTAATAGCCCCTCCGACTTTTACTTTTATATGTGTAGAGGATTGATAAATTTCCAATAAAGTGTGTTGTCCTCCCAACAGAGTATTCCTCTTGTTGACATATATTCAGGTTTCTCTGCTGTTATGCTAATAACCCTCTTCTGCTTGTTTGGAAAGGGATTGAATTGGAAATTGTCAATAGCTGTGAAAAGAACAATGGTGGTTGTTCACATCACTGCGAACATGCACTTGGTGGGCCCCATTGTTCCTGTAACCATGGACACCGGCTTGATTCAGATGAGAAAACATGCATAGGTAATGTATGGTAAATGCCATCTTCCTTTAGAGCTGTCCAGGATTCATTTAGCCCTTTCCTCTCTAAAACTTATTGCCGTAATCTGAGCTACATATCTCAAACTGCATGGAGAAATAAATCAGTCTCTGGCTACTAGATAAATGTAAAAGAAATATTAATTGGCAGAAGACATCATGGTCTTTGGATATTTACTTTAAAGTGAAAGGAGCTTTGAAACATTTAACAAAATATATGAACTTAGTTTTATTTCAGAAAAATATGCCAAGGCCTATCTAACCACTGAATGCAATTTGTAACTCAACAAATGCTACCACGTACCCGACTTCTCTCTACCCCATGCAGAAGCTCAATCATATGCATTTCCTTTTCTTTCTTTAAAATATATTTTTATTGATTTCAGAGAGTAAGAGAGAGGGGGAGGAGAGAAATAGAAACACCAATGATGAGAGAGGATCTTTAATTGGCTGCCTCCTGCAAGTCCCACACTGGGGATTGAGCCCACAACCCAGACATGTGTCCTGGTCAGGAATTAGAATCAAACTGTGACTTCCTGGTCCATAGGTGGATGCTCAACCACTGAGTGATGCCGGCCGGACTGCATTTCCCTTTCTTTTTTAAAAAAAATATATATATTTTTATTGATTTTTTACAGAGAGGAAAGGAGAGGGATAGAGAGTTAGAAACATTGATGATGTTTCTAGAAACATCTATGAGAGAGAAACATCAATCAGCTGCCTCCTGCACACTCCCTACTGGGTATGTGCCCACAACCAGGGTACATGCCCTTGACCGGAATCGAACCTGGGACCCTTGAATAAACAGGCCGACGCTCTATCCATTGAGCCAAACCAGTTAGGGCTGCATTTCCTTTTCAACTTGGTGATGGCTTGGATGCATGTTCAACTTTGGTATGACAGGCACCTACATTCCAAAAGAAAACTTTAAAATTCTTTGGAAATCCCAACTCAAATGCATTTTTAATAAATAACTTTTCTGACATATTATTAGAACTCATATCATTAGAGACAATGAGAAAAATAAATTTTACTTCAACCTTGCTTCATAATGAATGTGGAATTTAGAACTTCTGAGGAAAGGGAATATCTACTAAAAACAGGGAGAGTGAGCATCAAACTATATCATTATATGCTCTGTGTCTGAGAGCACCTACAAGCCCCTCTAAACAATTTGCCATTATTCTGGAATTAAGTATCATATTTGCTTGTTTTTTGTGTGTTGCTTTATATGACCTTTCTTAAAAATTATGAGTACTAAAAAATTTTTTGACCATTTTATGCTATTCAGAATGGTTAGAGACAAACTAGAGTATCATAAAAGAGGTGAATTTCAAAGGTGTAAGTATTTGGAATTTCTTTTCTTATGTGACAGTATGAGCTTCAAGGGATTTTGAAGTTTTCTGGTTTCATAAATCATTTAACCAAAACAATGTCATTACTTGTATATCTTGATCCAACATTGCCTCCTGCATTTTTTTGAATCTACAGTTGCTGCCTTAATGAAACCCATTGCTTTCATTTCTTCTTCTTATTTAATGAAAAACTTGCTTTTATTTTTCTACCTTGCTAATACCTATATCTCTGGAAAAAATAAGGGGTTCCTTTTTTCTTCCTCCTTCCCTTCCTTGCTCTCTACTTGTCTTTTCACTAAACCTTTTGTTTGCGACTTACAATTTTGTGTCTTTCCTTATTCTTTGAAAAGTACAATTCAGTAAAATTTGTATTTATAACTAGAAAAAAATAGCATCTGCCATGGTCAAAATATAGAAAATTGCATATTTATGAGATTTCAGCATGACATTATATTGTTTATGGTTTAAGTTTATTTCATTTCCAAACAATAAATAACACTCATTCCTAAAGACCAAATATTCACTACAGTAAGGCAATGAATTGTTTGGAGAGTACACATACAAACTTTGCTTATTTACCTGAGAACAGATTAAGGTCATGGATGATTTGTAAAAATATTCATATCTGGAGGAAATTAAAGAATTTTCTTTTTAGCTTATTTTAGAATCAACATTTTTTATATTTGAGAATGTACAAATAAATGGGAAAATAAGTTGTCCAGTCTGCAAATTGTCAGCCTGTCATTCCCAACTGCAAAAATGTATTAGGGCTAAAACCTAGAGATGTGTTAACACAATTTGAAAGACAGGTAAAGAAAATCCAAGTGTCTGATCAGCAGTAAGCTCTCTACATTTAACAATCATTAGATATTAGAAACACAATTTTTTCTATCCTTTTTGAGTTTGTTCAACAGCTATGCTTGAAGGGGTCACATACAAAAGATCATTTTTTCCCAAGGTTTAATTTTCATGCTTTTCTGAAGTCAAAACTGAAATTTTTACTTGGTTTGCCTGGCTTCAATTGAAGCTCTATTTTTGATGAGAGCTAAATTTATATGAATAGGTGAATTCCTCTGCAATTGGCAATACTGACCAATGTAAGAAAAACATGATTATCAATGAAGAGGAACATAAAAAGGGAAACATTAGCAAGCAAAGATCTTACCAAATAAGATCTGAAAATAAATCAAGGAAATTATGAAACAGGTGATGTAAGTGTTGAAGGGACACAGCATTTTAAGAAAGGCTTGTGATGTAAGAAGGGCGGGGTTTCAGGTGAGTTTCAGACTAGATGGTTTACAGGAGACAAGCTAGAAATCACCCCAGAGGAATGATGATAGAAGAAGAATCTAAATGGATCATAAATTGATAGACTGTGGAGCTCATTTTCCAATTGTGATACAGTTGTGCTCCTAGTATCTGAGTACAAGGAATCCTGAGACATACATGTTTGGAGGCTCTGTTAGTATTTGAGAAGACTTTAAAATATTTTTTAAAAAAAAACCCATTAAGGATCATGTTTTAAATTAAATAAAACGGAATTATTAAACGCAATTTTGCCCTCTCTGTTCATGCTATTTAACCCAAAGGACAAAGGATGGTTTAGTAAAAGAGAGGAAAAAATACCACCGAGAATTTTGTGAGTAGCACTGCTTCTGGAATTTTGCAGGAGAAAGAATGTTTTGTGTCCAAATGACCTTCCTTTAGAAGTTGTACGGTGACCCCTCACCTTAGATAATTGACTGCATTTTCTTTCCTCCCTTTCTCTTGTCTACATTTCCTTACACTGGTACCCTTTCCAAGGTTAATTGAGATATTGACCTTTTATATCTGTGGCTGCTCATGTAGTTAGGGAGCAATGGGACTTTTTGTACACTCAGCACTGACAGGCCAGCCAACATACCAGCTCAACAAACACAAGGTGGAATTGAACCAAGAGCCTATAGCAAAAACCCTGACCACCCAATTCCCAGGCGTCTAGCCTGAGGGAAGCAGTGGGTGAAGAGTCTGTTGCTACTCCTTGGACAGTTATGTTAGGAATGATCACCTCAAAACTCAAGCCAAATAGATTATTCTTTGGCTAAAGGGTTTCAATTTGACTTAATTCTGGTGCATTTTTATTTTCCTCAGAGCAGTTATGTATGTGGATGAAATATTCGGGATTGTAGAATTCTGGGATAACAATGCTGAAGGACACTTAAAGAGCATCTCTTAGAAAGCTGTTTATCTGATAGGACATGCCAGGGTAATGGCACCAACAGTAAAATGAAAAACCCTGACCCACTCATCCTAGCCAAAGCATCATCGCAAAGTTCAAGCAAAGCCTCTGAAATATTCTACAATTCGAAACACAATATTTAAAAAGATTGTCTGCCCTCTCTCCAAATTGCAGCTGCCACTTCTCTTCCCAGTTTTGTGAATTCCATTTCCTTGCAAAGCTCTGTCATCTAAAGGTCTAGAACAAGTGTAGGACTGTCTCCTCTTTGCTCTCAAATGTTCACTAAGTGGAATTTTTGACTCTTCCTCTCAAGCTGTTTCGATGTTGTTGTTGTTCTTCTTCAAGTTCTCTGTTTATTTAGTCAAATTGCTGTTTAAACTGGAAAAATAGCAGAAATCTCTTTTCCTGTGCTTATAAATGCATTTGGAGATTATTTACACACTTTAAAAAATAAATGACAGGCATAGGAAAAACATGCAAGAAACATAAATTCAAATGTGAGCCTCATTCTTTCTATGTTATAGTTGCTTTGATGTCTGTACAATGTGGCCTGAGAAATAGAATTGAGTAGTAAAACAATTTGAATTTATAAGTGAGGCTTTAATTTAATTCTATAGTTCAGTGAAATTCCTGTCTCTGAAACAACAGAAATATCCTTTCCCCTTCAGACCTTGATGAATGTGAGAGTGGAGAAGCCTGCTGTGCCCAGCTCTGCATCAACTATTTGGGAGGCTATGAATGCAGTTGTAAGGAAGGCTTTCAGATCAGTTCTGATGGTTGTGGGTGTGATGGTAAGTTCCTGCGATCTAATATGAAATCACTGGTGTGATGAGGCAATCAGTGAAGGAGGAACATGTGAGGAAGGGGGTTAGGATGGGAAAGGGAAGGCCTTGCCCTGAATAGACTTGGATGTCTACCTGGTTCTACTAATGCAAGTTTTAAGATGCAATTTTATAATTTTCTAAGTTACTTGTTAAAATTGGTTCACTTACCTTGCAGATGATTTCTAGATTATGTATTAGTTTTCACAAGAGAGTATGAATTTAATGAGTAGAGGCAATTCACTTTTTTACACCATTACATTAAGAACAGCTCATTTGAGCCATTGCTATCATTTACTTTTTTTAAATTTATTTTTAAAACGTGGAACCTTTAAATTTTCACTTTATAATCATTACCATTATTTTGAACCACATTTTTCTTCAAATCAAAGGAAACATAAGATGATCTTTTTTAATAAGTCAACATATATAAGAATATCATGCCTCAGAAAAAATAGTGTTTCTTTGCTTTAAAGAAACAAATTCCTGAATTATATTGACGATGATAGGTATGTGTTTTTTTTCATATAGACACCAAGCTCCTCAGCCTTGCAATGTAGGTAACAGCAAAGAAAACACAGTTATGGTATCTATATATTCTAAACACAGTACAATATATTACCATTTACCATATTTAATCCAATTAACAGGAGCCAAGAAATTTGAATTTCATCGACCATCTGCTCTTAAGCAAAGTCAGCCAAAAGATAATTGTATGGTGTGAATATACATACTTGGGTACATGCATCCAAATTGAAAAGGTATCATAATCTGAGGCAAAGCTTAGAAACCCAGCTTCAACAGTAAACTTTTACTATTGTGAACACATTGACCAAAGTCTAGGCTCAGATATGGACAGTCACATGAAATTAAAGCCTAGAGTTCTTCCATCTCTAAAATTCTCCATAAACCTTGTATAGAATTATGCATGGAATAAATGCTTCATTCCAGAGATGGAATAATTCAAGAATGAATGAAAATTATACAAAATGGTGTACAGCCTGAGACCATTGAATTTATTTTGTTTTAAATTCCTCATCAAAACCTCATGAACAAGGTCTCAGAAAGACCTTGTCTGTGTAGATGAACTACAATAAACTTGAGTGAAAGAAAAAAATTGGCAGGATATACTTGAGAAAGTGTCCAAGGCTAAGCTTTCTATAGGACAGTACATAGTCATGAATTAATAAAGGTGACAACAGGAACACAAATATGCCCATGACTTCACAATGTCTATTTTATCTCTCGGTGCCTAAAAGCAGACATTGTTTAAATGTTCCTAGATGTGGACGAGTGTCTGGATACCAGCATAGTCTGTGATCAAGTATGTATTAACTCTGTTGGAACATACCACTGTACTTGTGAGGAAGGCTACAGAATTGGAAGTGATGGAAAAACTTGCATCTGTAAGTCACTGTGAAGAATCTCATGTGTCTCCTCTAAACTACTTCCACCCTCATTTTCTTCTTCAGGGACAATGGAGACCACATATTCCTTCACTCAACCTGTCTTCCCCTTTCCTCACAGACTGAGATCTTTCCCTTTTGTTCTCTCTGCTGCAGTGTCAGCTTTGTGATAGCTGCTTCTCGCCCTCATTTACAAGAGACTTTTTGAAATGGCCTCAAAGAGTTCTTCCTTTCAGTGGCCCCCTGCCTTGGCTGTCTAGTTCAAACTCTCTCATTTCTCTCATCCACCCTTGCTCGGTTTTTCCTTCTTTTAACCAGCATGTTGAATCCAGCCATTTTACTGTGTGGTCTTAGCTTTAGATGATGATGAGCTAGAGGAAGGAGAAGAGGAATTAGAAGTTGTGAGGTTCGCAGGCCTTCTGTTCAAGAGCCCGCCTAGACTGCTTCATTATGTGGCTCCCTCTCTGCCTCCCACCTACCAAGATGAAGAAGATGAGGACAAAGTGGGAAAAGATATTCGAGGAGAACTAGCTCTATTGCCCAAAGTTGGTGAGTAAAATAATTTATCTCAATGCAGTCACCTCTTTTTTTATTAGAGAATTTACATAAATTATTTTATAAACAATTTCATTATCCATAATTAATGCCACCAAATATTTTAATGGGATGTTAGCAAGAAAAGTGGGGCCAAAATCACTTCTGAGCTTTCTAGCAAACCCATCATCTTTTGTCTTCCTTCCCTTTCACAATAAAGGGTTGCTATGTAGGTATGTGTAGAGGTGTGGGTACATGGTATTGGGGACTGTTCAAGTTCAATACAATGAAATGGACCTGAAAAGTATCTTTAAATTAACATAATGGGGAGGATTGGGACCTTTCAGTTCTGACTATTAAAACTCCATTAGAAGTCTCTTTTATATATTTAAAAACTTACTTTAAATTGCCTTGAAATCTAGATCCTTCCCAGTTTTTAAAACAATGAGAACTAACACTTTAATATATTCAAATGGACCAAGACAGTATCTTAAAATTGTGAACAGTTTTTCTTAGATGCATCTATCCACACAACAGAACTCAAGCATCAAATCACTTCTGATCAAAATAAATTAGCATTTCCTCTCTCAAATGTAACAGTTTGCAGCCAGTCTGCTGCTTCCTTTTCTTTTCTTTGTCAAACAGAGCTGCTCTTTTTGTTCTCCCTCTATTTGCTGTAGTTTAACAGAGCTTGATGATTGCTTCAGGATGTATTCCGTAAAATGGCAGAAATATTTTCATGCTTTGGTGAATCACTATAATAATATCAATAAATGCATCTGCATAAAAGTAGAAATGCTTTACTGTTTCTTCATTAAACTTCTGATGCTTCAATGACTGAAAGTCTGAATGGAAAGAGTTCAGGGCTACTAAGGCAGCCAGAACTTGAGTGGCCAAGATCTAGAGAGGAAAGACCCAGACAGGTGAAATGGACTAACTCTGCTGCTTTTCTCCTTGAGCCATTTGCTAATGTATGGGCTGTGCAGGCAGAGAAGTCAGGGAATCTAAAAGGCAGCTGCTAAGCCCTGACCGGTTTGGCTCAGTGGATAGAGTGTCGGCCTGCGGACTGAAGGGTCCCAGGTTCGATTCTCGTCAAGGGCATGTACCTTGGTTGTGGGCACATCCCCAGTAGGGAGTGTGCAGGAGGCAGCTGATCGATGTTTCTCTCTCATTGATGTTTCTAACTCTCTATCCCTCTCCTCCCTTCCTCTCTGTAAAAAAATCAATAAAATATATTTAAACAAATAAAATAAAAATAAAAAACAAAAGGCAGCTGCTAAGAGGGCAAGGAGCTGAGCACAGTTACCAGCAGTATCATGGCGATGGGAGGTAGAGTCCGCAGCCCAGGATCTGCCAAAGGAGAGATGGCTTGTTCAACATAACAGACATTCAATTGCGATGCCTGAGAGACCCCACTAGAAACAGGGGCAAAACTTGAAAAATCCTTAAAACAACGGAAATGAAATCTCTCCATCCTTATTCATATTAAGGTAATTTCCCTCAAAAAGAGAATAGAAAAACACTTCATGATACACTTATACACTAGAATACGATACAGACTTTAAAAAACAACAACTAAAAACTAGTGTAAGAGCAGTATGGGTGAGTCTCACAAACATTACATTGAATGAAAGAAGAGTGACACAATTCTATTTATCTAAAGTTCAAGAAGAGGACAAGCACCAAATGGCAGGAATATTGATTATTTTGCTGTTCTGGAATCGATGATAATTTCTCTTCATACTTTTTAAACTTTATTAAATATTCTAAATATTCTTTTGGGACTATATTTCAATAGTATTATTGGAAAATATAAAATAACATCTACTTTAAATGATATTTCTTTGCTGTTGTCTTTTTCTGGGACTTTAAGAAATATCTTCAAGGATTGAAGGATTATATTGTGTGTGTATGTGTGTGTGTGTGTGTGTGTATGTGTGTGTGAAGTGTGAATGTTTCATCTCCATTTTCAGTGACGTAGACAGTTTGAACTAACTGAAAATGTACCATATTCCAGTCTGTTTAGATCACACCTTTGGACATGATTGCAGTTTGAGCTGTGAGGACTGTATGAACGGAGGCCGGTGCCAAGAGGGAAAGAGGGGGTGCTCCTGTCCAGCTGGCTGGGGTGGCGTTCTTTGTAATGAAAGTGAGTGATACCCTGAAGAATTGGTAAGAGGGTGCTATCTTCTCCTTTACTGTTGCTAGACCACTGGCGATGAGTTCTCCTCTACGTGTATTCTCCCTAAAATGTTTTAACAAGGTAAGCAATTGATATGGGTGAGAAACCAATTTATTTGTTGTGCCTAGAGAATGCCTTGAAGCACCGAGGTTTTAAAGTGAACATGTGATTAAAAGGGAAGATTTTGTGTTCCCTGGAAAACTTGATGTTCTGTTTCTTATTTATCCATGGAGCATAAAAGTTAATAAAGGATCCTAGCATTCTAGGCCTATTAAAAATCCCTCCATTTAAATAAGTCATTAGGCCCAGGCAAGCTATTCCCAATAAAGACAGAAAAAAAAACAGATTTGTTCTGCAAAGTGTAAGTAATGAGATTGCTTGACTGCTGCTTCTTTTCTTTTGTGTGTTTTCTTTTCTTTTCTTTTTCCTTTCAAAATATGTTAGTACAGCCAATGGCACTTTTAAGTATTTTATATGTCTCTCATAAAAATATAAAAGATAAAAAATGATACCTATAATAAATGTATTCTTTATATTTCAAATGGAGGTGTGCTTGCAGGTACTAAAACTACCAAGTAATAAAAACAAAATAAAAAACAAAACTACCAAGTAATAAAAACAAAACTATCTTTGTTTTCTCTTTCTCTTTTTAAATTTACCTTATAACGTTTTTAAGAGAAAGGTTTTCTTAGCCTTTGTGATTAGCTTAGATGATATGAGCAGATTTTTCATTTGAATCCCCCAGCATACAGGAAGAAAAAGCACAAATATTGTTTCTATTAGGAGATAGATATGATCTTGAGTCACAACATATGAAGTGGCTTAACCAAGATTACTAGCTAGGGTCTTGAGGACCTTCCTTAAGTATCCCTCTGCTCATGTGTCTCTTCTGCTAAAAAAAAAAACTTGACCTATTTCCTGATACATAAAGCATATGTTTCTGATCTACTCACTAGTGACCCTCTAAAATCAGGCCCTTCTCAATTTTTTTTGCTTTTGATCTTAATCACAACTCTTTGCCCAGCTTATCATTTCCAAGAAACTAAACCACTCACTACTTATTGCTTTGCACTTTCCATTTTTGTGCCTTTTGCTAGACTGCCATTTTTGTCCATTTCCACTTACTGTATGAAGCCTTTTTGATGGCCCCAGTCTAACCTCAACTATTTATATTTCAGTGAATTTAAAGTCTCTCTCTCTCTCTCTCTCTCTCTCTCTCTCTCTCTCTCTCTCTCTCTTTGATTAGAGACACCTATTCTCCTGTTCCATTTCTTTGACTAGACCCAGTGCTCATTGTCAAGGTCCTACTCATGTTTCTCAAAACTGGAGGTACCTAGTGCATAAATTAACAAATAAAGAAAAGTTGATATTAAAGTATTCAGTTATATTGACCTGCAACTTGACATTGATCTGCAACTGCATAAAACTAGAATCAATAAATGTTATTGCATGAATAAAAGGAAATAAACATTTTACTTTATATTGTAAGTTTTGTTGGAAAATATGTATCTTCCAAACCCTTCATTTCTAACATGGTGGCATGAAAAATAAAACTAAAAATCTATCTCAAATACATCAGAATATAGCATGTCTAATATAAAACTAATATAGAGATATTTAAAATGAACTTGCTGATAAAATGAAGATAAGATGCCCCCTTCTTTGACTTTAGAAAACTTTGAGAATCTTTTAAGTTTTCACATGGTCCTTCCTGTACAGGAGTCTGTCCCTGAAAGCAGATTATATATATATTTTGCTTTACTCTCTGCATTTCTTAAGAAATCTTTACAAAGATGAAACAGAATATTCCAAATGGAAAAAAATGTTCACTGATTCTTTAACAAAAAATGGGGAGTGAGAACTTTTTTTAAAATCCCTATAAATTGCAATAAATGGATGTGACCAATCATTCATCATCCATATTTTTAAAAGCCCCAGCTGTTCAAATGCTGCAAGGGAAATTTTTAAAAAGAGCATTCTAAAGAGATCTGGAACGTTAGTTTTCCCACTGAGTAGATCTTCTAGCCCAGCGGTTCTCAACCTGTGGGTCGCGACCCCTTTGGAGGTCGAACAACCCTTTCACAGGGGTTGCCTAAGACCATCGGAAAACACATATATAATTACATGTTGTTTTTTTGATTAATCACTATGCTTTTTTTTAAATATATTTTATTGATTTTTCACAGAAAGGAAGGGAGAGATGAGAGTTAGAAACATCGATGAGAGAGAAACATTGATCAGCTGCCTCCTGCACATCCCCCACCGGGGATGTGTCCACAACCCAGGTACATGCCCTTGACCGGAATCGAACCTGGGACCTTTCAGTTCGCAGGCCGACGCTCTATCCACTGAGCCAAACCGGTTCCGGCGGCTATGCTTTAATTATGTTCAATTTGTAACAATGAAAATACATCCTGCATATTAGATATTTATATTACGATTCATAACAGTAGCAAAATTACAGTTATGAAGTAGCAACGAAAATAATTTTATGGTTGGGGGTCACTACAACATGAGGAACTGTATTAAAGGGTTGCGGCATTAGGAAGGTTGAGAACCACTGTACCTATTCCCTTTATTGGTCAATGATGAAGATATCTGCTTTGAAGTGTTAGGAATTTTCCATGTCATTAGAATGAAACAATTTAAAAATTATCACATTAATTTTAATAGCACCTTTCAGGACTCCATTTCTTTTGAAGAGATTTCATATTGAATATTTGTTATTATGACTATCCAATTGACAGGGAAGATTATTTTCATATGACAAATAAATGGGTTATATCTGGAGGGGAGGCTTCATGACTCCTTCCAAATCATCCAGCTATGGTTTGGGGTATGTTTGTTTAAAAATGTGTTCCTCCAGGCCAATTGCTCTGTTTGATGCTAATTAATTACTTTGCATATCTGTGCACTATGTGGTATCATATTCTACTGTGTGGGGTAGTGACAGATAATAGCATGGTTTGCAGATGTTGAGTTGATGACTTGCTGTAATCTAGATACTGTGCAAGTTATGTAAACTTCCTTAGCCTTCTTTTTCACGTGGATTTTTTCTACTCATCCCTTCTATTGTCACTAAGAATTCAAAAACTTACTACATGTAAATTAGCAATGTAGACCTAAACCAATGTTTTTTGACAATTTTTCTCTCTTATTCCTTTTGTTTCCCTCTTTCCTTTTCATAGTAGCCTAGGGCTTAAAAGTAAAGAAAAAAAAGTGCATAAGAAGCCAAGTTTCCATATAAGCATCTGAGATGGTGTGGGTGGGTGAATAGAGGAGGTGATATAAATGTAGTTTGTAATATGTAGCCTATTATGATAAAATGTCAATTAAAATGGTTACTGACATTTTCTAAACAGCTGTATTTATCCAAGTTAAAATTAAAATAAAGCTACAGACATTTTTCCCAATTTATTATTTTTATTGAGCTACTGAACACTTTCCCCCAAAACAACAAAACAGTTGTTTGTTTGACTTCATCATTCTTTGATAGAGAATGTAAATTACCTTGGGACCCTCAAGACAGTCTTAGTTGCATTTATTCCTGGTGAAAAATACATGCCATTCTTTCCAATTTTTTTTTAAAAAAATAGAAGGTGCAGTTTGTTTCTCATTAAAGTTTTTGGAGTTATACAGCAAGGTTATCTAAGCTTTGAAAATGTGATGGTTAGAGTTTAAGGAACAAGGTAAATTTTGTATGCAAACTTTCTTAGCAGCACCTCAGTCATCATTTTAAGTAGCTGCATCAGTAATCCCAAGGAATTATTAGGCCATTTAAACTGGGAGCGTGCCAGAGACACTTCTCAGGTCTGCAAATTACAGAGATTTTGATTACTTGGTATCCATTCTAATAGGAAGACAAGATTGTTGTATGTGTGTGTGTGTGTGTGTGTGTGTGTGTGTGTGTGTGTGTTTTCTCCATTTGTATCACAATGAGTATGTTATACTGTGATTACTTTCCTTCATAGCTTGTTCTCCCGAGACCAGTGGGGAAGAATGTGGAAGCACCTGTGATTGTCAGAATGGAGGCACCTGCGATCCTCTAACTGGGCAGTGCCAGTGCCCCCCAGGGGTGCATGGGAAAACCTGTGAACATGGTAGGACTGTCTGGTGCTGGTCACATGAGACAACTCTTTAAAGTCTTGAGACTTACTTATTTGCTTTTCATAATTAAAAGGAGGAAAGATGAAAATCAGAGGGAAAGAGGAGAAGAGGGAAAGAGAAGAAATTATGAATGAAAACTTACAAAATGCCATTGAGGCTGTGTGTGGATTTTTCACAGAGACCAGGGGAAAGGCCACATTTTCTACATAGGTTGATAAAGCCAAAAAGAAAACTGCTTTCCCAGGCCCAAGAGCTGAAGACAGATAGTCAATGAAGATATGTCTTTAGGGATTACCAGAGATCATGAGGAGTTTATTAGGGTCCCACAGATGATGGAACTGGGGAGATGGAAGCCAAGTTTACTTCACTCTCTTGAGAGTTACAGGAAGGCTCCTACTGGTGTCCTAAATATTCATTCCCCGGGATAATATATATTCATTCATTCAAATTATATAAAGTCTTTGCAAGGCACTGGGCCACACATTATGATATGGTAATGTGTGCTTTGTGATCAGAACATGAGGAAAAAACAGTCAGTGTGAGCAACTTCTACAGAAGGTGCACTGCAGGAGAAGCTTGCAAAATGAGGGGCATGAGACAGGGAAAGTGTGAGGGAAGAGCATGTCCAGACTCTGAAGTGGGTAGGAGTGAGGTGCCTTAGAGGAACCCGGTCAGCTGGTGGAGTAAAAGTCCTTCGGAGAGTAGTAGTGCTGCATGAGGCAGTCGAAGTAGGGGCTCATAGTCTTGTTAAGTTTGGAGTTTTAATCTGACAGGAGTGTCCAATCATTACAGAATTTAGGCAGAGGGTAATTTTTAAAAGATCTCATTAGCCTCAGTCCACCCAGATTGGGAACATCTCACCTTTTGCGAGCTCCTTATTTCATGTAACAACAGCTCTAGCAAGTTTTGCATATGGGTTAATGTGTGCTTTGTTTGTCCTCCCACCTCTAGGATGCCCTAAAGGACTCTTTGGGAAGAACTGCAAAAGGAAATGTAACTGCGCCAACAATGGCCATTGCCACAGGGTGTACGGTGCCTGTGTGTGTGAGCCAGGGCGCTATGGGAGGTTTTGTCATCTGAGTAAGTCACAGGCACTACATTTGCTCTCTGTGTGAAGCAAGGAGGCTCAGAAAAGTACCAAAAATTAGAAAAAGGAAGAGACTAAAACCATAATTTACACACACACACACACACACACACATATGTATGTATATGTGACAATTTATGTTCTAGTCTTTGTTTAGACTTCTTATTTTAGAGACTCTAGATTTTGATGAATGAAAGAAAACTATTTCTGAATTCTTTACGTGTTTTCCTCATTAATGTTTACCTTAATTATTGAGAAAGGAATGTTACTAGCTCATTTAGAAGGAGGCTTGGCACTTTGTGGGAGCTGCATATTAAAATGAACAGAAAAAGTTTCCATTATTTCTGGGTTCTAGTGTGTAACAATATCATTCCCTAAAATTTCTGCAACAGGCTATTTATTTTGCATTTTGGCCATCAATCATGTTTTACAAAAGATGTGAGAACACACAATCACCAATGAGTACTTCAGTCTCTTAAGTAGCTTATAGGATTTCTCCTAAAGGGACATCTCTGGGTGCCCACCATCCCATCTTGTAGCTATGTGCGAGCACCTGCGAGCCTGAAACATTCTCCACCCTGTTCCTCTACCTGTTCTGTGTGCCCTCCTCTGAAAGTCCTCCCAAGTGGACCTCAGAAATACCATGACCCATCCTTCTATCTAATAAAGAGGTAATATGCAAGTTGACCATCACTCCAACACACAAGATGGCCTGCAGGGGAGGGCAGTTGGGGGGACCAGGCTGGCAGAGGAAGGCAATTAGGGGCGACCAGGCTGGCAAGGGAGGGCAGTTAAGGGTGACCAGGCCAGCAAGGGAGAGCAGTTAGGGGCAATTGGGCCAGCAGGGGAGCAGTTAGACATCGATCAGGCTGGCAGGGGAGTGGTTCAGGGTGATCAGGCTGGCAGGCAGAAGTGGTTAGGGCAATCAGACAGGCAGGCAGGTGAGCAGTTGGGAGCCAGCAGTTCTGGAATGTGAGAGGGATCCCAGATTGGAGAAGGTGCAGGCTGGGCTGAGGGACACCCCTCCCCCTGCATGAATTTTATGCACTGAGCCTCTAGTTTCTTAATAACAGAGACCTTTTAGAGTTTTATATTGCATTTTTAGTTGATTATCCATGGATTTTGTCTATTTTATAAAGGTATGTCCTGAGAAAACAGAGAGTAAATTGTGACTCCAAATAGAGAGCCAGGAAGGCATCATGGAAAGCTAAACCTGGGTAATGAGAAATGGTCTGGCTTGGGTTAGTAATATAGAAGAGAAGGGGAGAAGGCAGGGGTAAATGTGAAAAATGCATGTGTATAGGGAATGTTACAGAACATCATGTACCTCCTAGAATATGCCAAGAGAAGAAAACTCACCTAGAAACAAAGATAACATCATTTCTATTATTGTTCCTCCAGGGCAGCAATTGTCAACCTTTGCATCTAGTGGCATACATAAACTAATTACTAAAATTCTGCAGGACACCAACAAATATTTTTTTTTGGTGATGTGACAAAAAATAGGTATAATTTTTATTGGTTCACAAAAAATAATAATAGTAATTACCTACCCTTTTGCTCCTATGTGAGTTTTTAAAAAAAATCAGGTGCCTATACTTGTACCTAGTATATAAGGATTTCCGGTACCAAGAATTAACCAATCAGATGCAACCTTATTTGTGACATGACCAATAAGATGCAATTCTATTCTAGTACCTGTATATTTATAGTTCAAAACTGGGCATTCATACCAGACAGCTGTTGTTGTGTTGGCTGTGTTATTTTTTTAAATTTGACAATCTAAGGGAAAAGAGGTCAGTCCCCTGACTAAATAGTCAGGTATTGCAAGTCTTAAAAATTCTTGCAGCACACCAGTTGAAAATCGCTGCTCTGGGATAACAGGGTACATCCCATTATGTAGCAATAACTTTTGAATATTTTATAAGGAAATACTATATATTTTGGCAAAAAGCACATTAAAATCATAACTCATCTGGTCAAATATTTGAAGAGCAAATGGTTGTGGTGGTAATAGTAGTTAGCATTTTGAATATGACCATCTTTCAAAAAGATATGCACATTTCAATTTTTCAATACTTTTTGCTTAGATGTGAGGCCTCATTTATTAATGCCACTTGCCTGGCCCTGAGAAGCTTCAGTTTGAAAACCTATATTAATTTTCTAGAGCTGTTGTAATAAAGTGCCACAAACGGAGTGCCTTCACTGATGGATATCTATTGCCTCACAGTTCTTGAGGCTAGAAGTCTGGGATGAAGGTGTTAGCAGGCCATACTCCCTCTGAGGCACCAGGATCAGTTCCAGACCTCTATCCTAGCTTCCTTCGCTTATGACAGCATAACTCCAGTCTTCACGTGGCATCCTCCCTGTATGAGTATCTCTGTGTCCAAATGTTCTCTATGTATAAGGACACCAGCCTTATCATATTAGAGGCCCATCCTTCAGTATGAACTCATTTGAATGGATTACATCATTGATGATGTAGTTTACAAATAAGGCTCTTTCTGAAGTATTGGGGGTAAGGACTTCAACATATGAATTTTTGGAGGACATATTTCAATGTATAACACTGATTAGACACTGGATTGACTAAAGAAGTTACTTCTCCCACTTGTCCTTTTTTTTTCTAGTCACATTTCCAGTGATAAGCTCTTGATATACCCACCTGTCACATTTTAAATACTCCATTGTGCCTGAGCTGTCCACTGAACCACTGTTCTGGATGCTGAGCCAGAAAGAGTAAGGGCATGGAAGTCAATGCAGGGAAGAGTTCTGGGATGAACAAGGAAAGGCCTGCACCAAGGAAGATAATATCTCTGAGAGACATTGGGGATGGTGGGGCTGGGGAAGAACTCAATACTTGGAAGCCACAGGAAAGATGAACAAGGATTAGTATAACTTATCATCCAAATGAGATAATATTAACAGTGAAAAAGGAGCTCTGTTAATAATTCTTTTCTGCTTTAGAGGTAACCCTGTCCATCCTGGCAGGGACAAGAATCACCCTACATCAGGGCATTGTAACCACCACTCTCAATTATCTCTGCTAATAATAGTAGATATTAGAGATGTTAATTTCCATTCACCAGAAAATCAATTGGCTTATTTTGTTCTTTAAAAGCCTATATAGGCATACAATACAATTACCTTGAGCCTGGAGGGCACTTGAAGGATCTTTTACCTGATAAGTCCCTTGGACATCTGTAAGGGAAAGAAAAAATGGCCAGAGGTGTATTTTGGAAAGGGGATTGAATTACTGTAAGTAACTCCTCAAAGAGAGACCTAAGGGTAGGCTTTCCTGAATGCAAAGGTAGGGTTTTCAAGTGATAATTCTTGTGCTATCATTCCATTTGTAAAACCTGATTGCATGGGGAAAATAGTGAAGGAAAGGCAAGCACCATTTGTCAACGATGTAGCCAAGATAATGCTACTGTCAGGATGAAAGTTTTGTGTTATCTACAGAATGTAAAAGTATTTCTGATTACCATATAATGAAAGGGAAGGGGAACAATGGTGAGCTTCACATCAGTGCTTGTCCATCATCTCCATGCTGTGGCAGGATGAATATGGGGCCTGGCAGGCCTTTGCAGTCCTTGGAGAATTTTAACTATGGGCCCCAGTGGAGCACATTGAGAAGCAATTTCTACCAGAAGCCCCAAAGCCTTTTAAGTAGTGCAGGCTTCACTGTTCACATCCACGTGCCAAAAAGCAAATGAATTGCCTGATTTGAAAGACATTTGTTTCCCTCGTTTTTTTGTTTTTTCTTTTGGCAGTTAGGATGATACCCTTGTTTTCCCCATAATCAGGCCCTGCAGAACTACATGCCTGTGCACTAACAATGTGGAAAAACACCAAGGTGTGGCTTTCAGGTGACAGTTTGCCTCAATTTGCTTGCAGACTGTCCCAAGGGGGCCTATGGGGCTGGCTGCTCTTCAGAATGTCAGTGTGTGGAGGAGAACACCCTGGAATGCAGCGCCAAAAATGGCAGTTGCACCTGCAAATCTGGTTACCAAGGCAACAGATGCCAGAAAGGTACAATCTGATGCTAAATTTTCTTTCTTCTCTAATAACAACGCTCAGCCTTTGTTCAGCACCATCTGATCATTACTTATTTCATCCGCCAGTGTTCTCAGGAGATGGGTAAGCTTTATTAATCCCCTATTTGCAGGTGAGGAAACTGAGACACAGGGCAATAACCTTATTTAACCTTGCCATCTCAGCCTCTGCGTTAGCTGTCCCCTTCGGAGCTTGGGCAAGGGAGGGAAGAAAGATCACATTGCAGAGAACCTTGTCATAAGAAGATTAAAGCTGGTCCGTCACTTCTTTGAGGTGAACAAATCAACCAAGGGCACTGCTAGCTTTCAGAGTAAAAAAAAAAAATTCTCTTTATATCTAAAGACAGATCATTCAAACAAATTCACCTCAAAATTCTAACCACGGAAACATGTTGGAAAATTTAAATCTAGTTATCAGTGTGGTCCTTTTGCATATTTCTAAGTATTACATCGGTTTTTTAAATAATTATAGAAATATAAAAGTTTATGTACATCCTAATTCCAATTATAAGTAACATATGTTGATATAAGTGTGTCGGTGCATAGAAAAATTGGAAAAGGGTATTCCACGTTTTAGAAATGGCTGTCTCCACTGTGGTTTCATGGAGATCTTCTCCCTGGGTATCTGCAGGGTTCTTCCACTTTATCACCAAGCCTTAGGCCACCTTTTCACTGAACCTCCTCAGTACCACCCTCCTTAAAATTGCAACTTGTATGTCTTTTTGAACTCTAATTATTTTTTCCCAAGTGCTTTTTATCTTTAAACATAACATATCCTATAATTATTATTATGTCTAATATTTATTGCCTGTCTTGCCTGCTAGAAGCTAATCACTACAGGAGAAGGGCAGCTGTTCCTTTTGTTCAAAAAAGTGTCCCCAAACTCCTAGAACAATCCTGACATCCAGGACTTGGTCAATAAGTGTGCTTTGAACTGAATACATAAAATGCATCTTTAATTTTATTTTTTATAGATTTTTTCTCATGGTATCATGTATTCTGCATTAAGCGCTTGGTACTGCTTTATTCAGGAGAAATTATCACAGTGAGATGGAACATATAACAAATGAAATGATCATAACTAACAGCAAGGTGAACTATTTGCCTTTGACATGATCCAAGAACAATCTTTTTTCCCACTTTAATATATTTTTATTGATTTCAGAGAAGACGGGAGAGGGAGATAGAAACATCAATAATGAGAGCAAATCATGCATCAGCTGCCCCCTGCCTGCCCCCCACTGGGGATTGAGCCCACAACCCAGGCATGTGCCCTAGACTGGGAATGGAACAGTGACCTCCTGGCTCATAGGTTGATGTTCAAATACTGAGCCACACCAGCTGGGTAAAGAGCAATGTTTTCTAAAATCAGGAGGACATTTGGTGGTTTTATAACCAGTCAATCAATGGGTCTGAGCTGCCTGTCACTATTTGAGCCAATTCAGCAAGAGACAGGGTTGAATCAATAATGCGGACAGTATGGGAGAGTAGCAGGTCATCCACAAAAATCTGCTCTGTCCTCCACCATAAGCCAGCTGCTTATATTGGGTAGAAAGATGAAGATTATATGGGGAAGTAGGCAAAAGGGCATGGCAAATGGGTAGTTTACAGGTAATGTGGGCTGGATATTTGCAAAGGCCTGTGGATATGCAAAGGGCTGACTGCTCTGGTTTCTACAACAAGGTTTTTAATCTTTCCATGATAATAGACAGCTCCAGGAGGGGGAGGATGGGCTGCATTTCCAAGTGAGCTCCCAGGTCCTGCATGCAACTCCCAGCCAGGTTAGAATGTGCCTTCTTCAATCAGAACAACGCAATCACAGTTAACAGAGCATGATTAATACTTCTTACAATTATAGCTGATCCCCAACATTCTATTTCTGCCCCTATCAGGTTTGAAAGGAGGCCATCACACCTTATAGTCCATTCACAGAGACAGGCCCTGGGCGTAGAGCTGTCTTTGGCCTTTGTGTATCACAAGTGCTCCTTGCATGACCATCTTCTGAGAGTTGCAGGGCCTGTTGGAGGTGACTGAAAGGGCGAAAGTGCTCTAGGTCTCCCAGGTCATCCTGTGGCTATGGAACTGGAGTGTGTTAGCAGCAATGTCTGTCTAGATTTCATGGAGTGAGGGCTATTTAGGGAGCTGGACTGTGACTTTTTAAGCAATGGGGAAAAGTACTTGGGCCAGAACCCTGATATTACACAAATGTGTTTTCCATGGTGTAAGAATGGGTCCCAGGCCAAATCTCTCAGCCTCCTTCTGCTTCAACTGATTTTTAAGGCTCGAGTCAGCCCCTTATTCACTTCCCCACCAGAGAAGTCATGGCCTGGAAGGCAATGCATGAGGAGACAATACCATATACACACACACCTGGGTAAAGTTAATTTATGCTGATAACATTCTCTTAAAGCAGCTGCTGAATATACTTTATTGGAACATGCTTCTGAGATTCCCACCGTGAAGAAAAATGAGTTGAAAGTATATGCAAATCAGCAAAATAGAGAGGTCACCATAATCTCTCAAAAACATATTATTTTTCAATCAGATAACTTTGTCCAATTCTGATATTTGTGTCTAACCACAAAATGAAATTATGAATCAGACCGGAGTGGGTGAATGGGATCACCATGATTGGCAGCTGAAATCAAGGCAAAAAGAGCTCTCCAAGCCATGGGCATGATGAAAATCAGGCCTGTTTTTCTTTCTCTTTTTCAAGTGCTCCTAGAGCCAGACATGTCTTTAAAAATCTTGACTCCATCCCTGTGTCTCGATTGCAGATGAATAGTTAATTAAAGGCTGCAAATTGTTTCAATGGCACTAATGAACAGTGCTCTCCACAATCAGCACCAGGTCTTACTCAGCCCATCAGTCATGACTTTTAAGAGCAGAAGAGCCAGTATCTACAGGAATCTGTGAAAGAGCAAAAATGAGAAAGAGAGGAAATAAAATCCAGCCAATGTTTTTGTTTTGATTAGTTTGTAGCCCGGGGCAGTTTGGACCCCAGCTGCAGGCAGACCTCTGAATGTGGAGGACTCTGGCCCAGCCGGCCTTGGAGTCCATCTAAGGAGGCTTATTCAACCCTTATATCATTATAATAAGGACAGACTTATGTTACAATCGTTCCACATTGAATGAACTTCAATTTGAACTCTGGTGTCTCTCGGTTAATAGACTTGACAGGTGCTGAGTAGCTAGTATTGCAGCCTAAGTTTGCTGTAGTGCCGAGAGCCAGAAGATCTGGGTTCGATTCTGACTTTGCTTCTTCTGAGCTGTCTGGCCCAGAGTAAGTCCCTTAACCTCTCCCAGCCTCAGTTACCTATTTAAAATGAAGCTAAAGTTGCTTATGTCGTACAGTAATTTTTATGCAAATGTGAGCTAATGTATGCAAAGTGCACGGCACAGAGTAAGTGATCAAGAGATAATAGCCAGAAATGGTTTAAACATCCCAAGAAATTTAATAATTCTGTTATTCAGTGAAACGCTGCCCAGGAAAGAAGATACTTCACAGGCCAACTTGGCCTGATGTAACTTCCCACAATTGTGATGTGTTTAGAAAAGTTTCACCATTGTCTCCGTGTTAAAGGAATGCTTTCTACCAGGTTTCTAATTCCAGTGGTTTTGGTGGTAGGATGCAGGTGGAAGCCTCTATCCGAGCCCTCAGAGGTCCCAGCAGCATCGGCCCTCTTTTCCAGCTCAAAAGCATTCAACAAAGCAGCACGTTCTCCTCTTTGTACATTGTTTGCTCCTATAAAATACACAAATTAGAAGCCCCTGGGGTGGTTCTCCTGGCTTACAATAGAAGCAAAGACTAGGAGAAAAGATTCTGGCGACCATTTGGGGACAGCTTCCCAAGCATCGCTCCTCCTAAGCTTCCTTTACAAATTACATCTCATTTTCAGGTTTTGTTCTGTGCAACTGCCTCCAAAGACATATATCAAAATCGCTTCCATTGTCACTGTCTGAAAAACCACATTTTCAGCAAAAACACAACCTCTGTATCTGTGTTTCCAACGTGACAAGATACAGCATCATGTTGGTTTCTTCAGGGAATATTTTTGGAAGTGCTATAAATCCTTGGAGGCTACTCAAATGTTTCTTTGTTTGCAGCCCAGGGGTACACACATGCACTCACTCACACACATACACACGCAACACTTTTCCAACTCACTTACCTGGGACCATCTTGATTTATTACAAGTCTTAGCTCCTTTCTTTCTGTCTTTTTACTTGACAAGCCTGCCCTGATGGACTCTGGGGACCAGAGTGCCAGGTCTCCTGTGGACCCTGTGAGAATGGAGGTCAATGCAACAAAAAAACTGGAAACTGTGACTGTCCTCCTGGTTACACAGGAAAAGACTGCACCACACGTAAGTCATTAATCTAGAAAAGATAACCAACAAATCAACAAAGTTGTTAGCTTTATAAATGCTTTTTTTCTAACTGATCTATGAGGTGTTTTGATAGGGTACATCTTTCAATTATCTATTGTTGCATAACAAACCATTCAAATATTTTGTGGCTTAAAATGATGATTTATTATTTCTTTTGATCCTGTGGGTTGATGAGATGCTTCTCCTGCCGGTCTTACTTGGAGTCACTGGTGGTTACTTCCAGTTAGTAAATTATCTGGGGAATGGGCTTGAGTGGCCTTCTCAGACAGCGGACCTAGCCTTTCCCATATATAACATTTCCATAAGGTTAGGTTGGGCTTCCTCATAGCATGGCAATCTCAAAACAAGGGTCCAAGAAGGAGTGCCCCCAAAGTGTGAAAGTGGACACCATAATGTGTCAGAAGCTTAGCTTCAGAAGCCACACATCATCATTTCTGCCACATTCTCTTGGTTAAAACAAATCATTAGGCCAGATTCTACCTCTGATCAGAGTAGCAGTAAAATCGCATTGCAGAAGATCTGCTAGCTGGGAGATAGGGTTGCAGCCATCTTTGCAACCAAGTTATCACAGTATTTGAAGTTATGCTGAGATGAGAGGCACTCTAAAGAATCTGTTAGCCCTAGCTGGTTTGGCTCAGTGGATAGCACACTGGCCTTCGGACTCAAGGGTCCCAGGTTTAATTCTGGTCAAGGGCACCTGCTTGGGTTGCGGGCTTGATTCCCCAGTAAGGGGCATGCAGAAGGCAGCCAATAAATGATTCTCTGTCATCTGTTTCTATCTCTCTCCCTTTCCCTTTCTCTCTGAAATCAATCTATCTATCTATCTATCTATCTATCTATCTATCTATCTATCTTACCTAATAATAGACAAACATGTAAATTGACCAGACCTTCACTATGCTACCCAGACAATCAGAAGAGTATGCAAATTAACCTAACAAAGATGGTGGTTAATTTGCATACGTAGGCTCCACGCGGTGGAGCAAAACCTGACAGCCCCAGGACTGGCAGAGCAGCAAAAGCCTCACGGCCCCAGGGCCGGCTCCGGCTGGAGCCCGGCCAGAGTGAAGGCCTGGGTGCCAGGTGCTGGAGGAAAACCGGTGCCAGCAGCCAGGGGAAAGGAAGGCCTATTGCACGAATCTCTTTGTGCAACAGGCCTCTAGTCCTATATAATAAAAGGCTAATATGAAAATTGACCAAATGGTGGAACGACTGGTCGCTATGATGTGCACTGACCACCAGGGGGCAGACACTCATGCAGCAGCTGTCCCCTGGTGGTCAGTGCACTCCCACAGTGGGAGCACTGCTCAGGCAGAAGCTGGGCTCATGGCTGGCAAGTGCAGTGGTGGTGGCGGGAACCTCTCCTGCCTCCGCAACAACTCTAAGGATGTCCGACTGACGGCTATCGGATATCCCCTGAGGGCTCCCGGACTGCAGGCTGGGCTGAGGGTCCCCCTGCCCCCTGAGTGCACAAATTTCATGCACCAGGCCTCTAGTATCAATATATATAAAAGCCAACCACCGGAACACTGGAATGACCAGAATGACCAGTCACTATGACGCCCACTGTGGCCTTAACTGTGGGTGGGGCCGGCCGGCCAACCTCCTGTGGCCCTTCCCCCTGGCTGGCCCCACTCCAGATCAGCCCCCCACCCCAATCAGGGGCAGGGCCAGCCAGCCAACTACCCATGGACCCTCCCCCAGGCCACTGACCCCCTATTGGCCCCCCCACCCACCCCATTCTGGGACGGGGCCAGCTGGACCCCACCCATGCATGAATTCGTGCACTGGGCCTCTAGTGTGTATATATATATATATATATATATATATATATGAAAGAATCTGTTTGTCTGTATTTATAATTATTGTCAGAGTGGAAACAAATCATAGACCGATAAAAAGTCATTAGATAAAATGAATTTGTTTCAAGGAGCCAGTAGAACTACTACCTTGCTGCTACCTTTTCTGCTTGTGATTCTTACCTTACCTCTGTTACCCCTGTCTGTCCTACCTTCTCTACTCTATCCACAGTGGGATAGAGTAACCTGAGAGCTTCAGGAAAGCTGTGGGCTGGATGCTAATATTGGTATTTTCTTTTGTAATTTTTTTTCAGTTACAATTGACATACAATATTACATTAGCTTCAGATGTATAAGTTTAACTTACAAAGTGATCACCCCTATAAGTCTGATACCCATCTGACACCATGTATAGTTATTACAATATTATTTTTACATTGCTGTTTTAAATATGTCTAATAAAGGTTAGGATAAGTCTGTTGTTTGTGATGATCTTTGATTTTAGGAGGTGAAAATGGTGATTTGAATTAACTTTCAGTGCTTAGGACTTTCTATAAACCAGCAAGCAAGTAAAACCAGAAACCTAAATGTAAACATAAAATGTAATACCAGGATGGTATTTAGCACTTAGTTCATCATCTGGCCATTTTGGGAATGCATTGTTATCCCTAAGGACAATGTCCACGCCCGAAGACTTTTCTGGATATAACTAGGTGGTTTTTACTTTGGGACTGTTATTCTGGCTCTGTTGACAAACATTTCTAACAGTGTAAAGCGTGCTGCTGCAGCAGTTGGCTAGCCCTAACCTACTTGTTTGCTTTAAAAAAAAAAAGCCTAAAGGTAAGAATTTACATATTCAAAAGGTAGTTACCTGCTATTTCCACAGTGAAGTGACATTTTCTGTCTAACTCAACTTTAATGGAATAATTATTAAGCAGATAGTGACAAAGTTTATACTGTTCCAATTGTCATGGTGACATAAATAGACTATTTAAAAACTAGTGAAGAGATAAACTGTTCATTCTTTAAAATATTAATGTAATAATTATGTTACAATTCTCTTCCATTCTAGGATTTTAAACCCCAGCAGAATATACCGTGATAGTGCTGAGAGATTTTTTATGACAAGTAGTAGGGTCTTAATTTTGTTGGCAACCTAATATGAGATAATGTATTGAATAGAATAGGCAAAAATATTCCCCATCTTCTAGTCCAGTTCAGTTTTTGTGTTATGTGCTATTATCTGATTTTACACACATAAACAGGAAAGACAAATTATATAATCATTATATTCATATATTTAGTAACATGAATGGAACCAAAGGGTAGGACTTATTAAAAATGCTTTGTGCATACTCCCCAAAGACTGCATGGCATTTAAAAAGAGGTTTGTGTTTTAAGAAAAGCATACATTTCTCTAAATATCCTGTTATGATGCTTACAGAATTTTAAAACCTAGTTATTCAACATAATGATCTGCAAAAATGCCTATAAACTATACAAGGTAATAAGTTTTAGAGGCAGGAAGGATCAAAAAGCTATTTCTAAAGATATTAGCTTTATATAAATTCTGATTTTTTTAAATTTATAAATACAATTACTTGGGGAAAATAATTCCTTTTTTAAAAAGGGTTTTATTTCACTTTGTCAGAAAACACTCTGTATTATGATAGGTTGTATTTTTTTTACACTCCCTAATCTTATTGAGGAAGGCGGCAGCTATGGCTTCATAGTTATTCTCACACCCTTGATAAGAAAGTACCATCTCAGACAAGGACAGTTTCACTCTCTATATATGGCATTTTACCAAGTAGTTTGAAAAATTAGATAAATTTTTCTTCATCCCAGCATTATTTATAATAATAAAATATAAAATAATGGCAACCTAAATATCCACCAGGAGAATGATTAAAAATAATTCTATAACACATTAGTAAACTATTCTGAGGCCATTGAGATTCATGTTTTGGAAGAATGTGCAATGTCAGGAGAATTGACATTAAGTGATGTATATAAAGAATGATCCAAATTCATAAAACATGTACTCAAGTGTAAAAATGGAAAATTGTAGCAGAAAGGACAGTAATTGTTAACACTGGCCATCTCTATATGGTTAGACTATGGGTGAATGTTTTTCTCTTTTGTACACTTTTGTCTTCCCCATATTCACTACTTTACATTTTCACCTTTAACAATCTGGGGATGGGGAAATTAATCATCTTCGGACCAATCATTGACTAAATATCCAAGTAAGATAATTGTTCTTAAAAGAGTGTCTGGTGGGCTTAACTGTTCCCAAATAGGGAAGAGGTTGTCCTTCCGTCTAACTGAACTTGTTGCTCTTCACATTTAAGTTGGGTTTCTTCTGTTTACATGATGTGAATATTGAGCATTGCTTGGCAGCACCACTAACACTTAAAAACAAACAAGCAAACAAAGAAACTTAAAGCACATAGGTCTACCTTAGTGATATCGCAGGTTCAGTTCCAGACCACCACAATAAAGCAAATTTCTTAATAGAGCAAGACACAATTTTTTGGTTTCCCAGTGTACATAGGAGTTATGTTAAAACTATATTAGTCTATTAAGTGTGCAATAGCATTATGTCTAAAAAATGTGCATACTTTATTGCTAAAAAAATGCTAAGCATCATCAGAGCCTGTTGGAAAATAGTGCCCATTGACTTGCTTGATGTAGGATTGCCACAAACCTTCAGTTTGCAAAATAAGACATTATCTGCAAAACACCATAAGGTGAAGAGCAATAAAATAAGGTGTGCCTGTAATGCTTTCTGTGAACACCTCATTTCCCTCTCTTCAGAAGTTCCATTTTCTAGCCTTCAGTCATTTTCTTATTACTCCTCTGAATTCTGCCATATTTTTATGCGCATTTACAAAATACGCCCCTCCACTACTGAGGAAAGGAAGGGAGAGAGATGGGGGAGAAGACACTAGAAGGGAGATACTAATACAAATACAGTTCAGGCTGTCAACATCATGTGATCAAACATCATGAAATGATGAATAACAAGGAAATGATGATGATCAACCATCGTCAAATATCAAAACCACATTGAACACAGTTGTAAACCTTCTGTAGAGGTAAGCTAGTAAATATTAAAAAACTGGGTCTCTGAAATAGAAAAACCCTCATTGGTAGCATTTACCAATTTCCACCATGTAATACTCCCACCAGGATGATTTCAAGGAACCCATGTGATGTCCACTGGTTCACTAAAATTCCTGACATTTTAACAATTGGCTTTCCGGAGTTGTTATTAACAGCTCACAGATAAGGCATTGGCTGGCAAATATTGCATTCTGATTTCTTAATTTCACTTTCTCTTTTGATACTAAGAAATAAGTACTTTTTAGGTGTCCATTTTACTTAGCTGTTTCTAAACAGATAATGAATTTGACCTTATGGGTGGAGTTAAATTACCCAAGAAATGAATAGTTCCAACCAACAAAAATTTCACTATTTATTTAGTCTATTGTATTTTTAAAACAAAAATTAATAGTTTAGGTCAACTGCTTCAAGATTAGAAAGAAATGTCAGATTGCTTTATTGTAGAGAGCCTTCTCACTTTTTTTCTCTAGAGTTCATATAATTGGAGTATTGACTCAAATCTAGGGGAACCATTTGTTCCCTTAAGCAACCTATAAACTGTGTTCCAGCTACCTGTAGCACACCTACCACAAACCAGGGCTGGCATTTTCCTTATGGCACACTGTTGTAATAAATAAGGCCATTATCTAAGGCAGAAAAAAAATGAGTACATATAAAACAAAGTTAAATAAAACAAATAAAAAAAACTATTAGAAGAACAATTAAAAGCCTTAAGCATCGCCCAACATGAAGAGGTGAGATGCAATAATATGCTTCTACCCTCTCTGAAGCAACCCTAGATCTGATTTTTAAAGTTGCTGTAAAATAAAATGTATTTAAATAATACATCTCCCATCCTTTCCAGCAGTGAGATGCTTGTCCCTTACCAATCTGGTTCTCAGCAGGCAGTCCAGCCTGATGAAGTATCAGCAAATGTCAGTTCCCACAGAGCAGTGCCACAGGGAGGCAACACTGAAGTGGCGACAGGCCTTTCAACCAACTATTTGTGCAAATTCAGTTTTTTTAATAGGGCTATGGTTGAGGACTGATGGGGATGTCATTGCCAATGAGTTTATCTCCCCATCGCCTGTGGAAACAGAAGGGAGTCGTGCTGCAGTGATATGGAGGCTTTAAGTTGAGGAGTTGTATGGATCTGGTCTTCAGGATATTTGTCTTCCTGTTTTCAAACAGTTCATATTCAAATTAGCTGTCATTTTTTTAGCACATAGCCATTGAAGGGAGCCCAAGAGGTGCTCTTGCCTGTATTCTTTCATCTTCTATAATGTCTTAGCTAAATCTTTAAAAATGAAGTTAATCCTGTTATATCACCTTATAACTCTCAATGACCTACTAATGCTTTCCGCCATGGAGTCAGAATTCCATAAAGTTTTAGGTCCTAAGGGCCCATCATCTCTCTGTTCCTAACATCACTTTGACTACGTTCACACATATCCCACATACTTTAGTCATTCCTCCAAGCACCCTGTGTTTTTAAAATGTGGTGCCATTGTCCATTACTCTTCCCGCTAATACATTTTTTTCTCCTTCCATTTTTATTGCCTGTTAAAGTTCTTCAAGGATTTTTATTTTTCAGTATATGGAAACTAACAAAAAAACTAAATCCCTTCTTTCCAATAATGGTGTGTTATAAGTGTCTGTTTGTACATGATTAAAGCTATCATGTGTTTTTTCATTCTCCAGCTCTTGATATACAAAGGACGCTCATTAAAGATATACTAGTCAATTAAAGAAAATTCTTAACAATTTAGTAAAGAAGTTTGGGATTAAAGTTTCATAGAAATAATCCACCAAGTTAAAAAAAAAAGACATGAAAAATGCAGTTTATGGTGCTGAAAAATATTCAGTAGCCTACACCGAACTGGGTTGTATTGTCAGGCCCTTTAAGATGAGATCAGTGGCAAAACTTCTTTGGTATCTATCCCATTTCTGAAAGCACTTTTCAAAAGAAGCTTTTCAGAGGATTAGAAGACGAACATCAGACAATGATGATGTTTTATTATTCTTTAGCTTTCTCACAAGATTTTAGATATATGTATTTCTGTACTCACCTCAATGTATGCAGTTTTTTATTTAAATATAACAGAACTGCCGTACAAAAGTGAATAAATATCTCTGGCTCTTATTTTCTATAACTAAAAGGATGGGATTCAAGTGGGTAAAATATAATATGTAATATTTATATAATAATATGTAATGCAATCTGTGCTACATAACACTAAATGGTAAATGTAGGCGTATGCTGTGCAGTGATAATACATCACCCAACACTCATGTGATCTAAGTGATGGAGTACCTATTCTGTGTTCACCATGCAATGTGGTTTCCACCATTTCACTCATTGAATCCTCAGAACAATTAATGGAGTTGGGTTTTCCCCATTTTACAAATGAGGAGACTGAATCTAGGGAGAATTGAGTAACTTATCCAAGGTAACTTATATATAATTAGTAACTGAGGACTAGATAATCAGTAAAGTTGATACAAACACTACATATTCATAAAAAAGATGATAGTTGTTAATATTAAATATTGTAGCCAACTGGTATAACATTTAAAGAAAAGAGAGAAAATTAAGATTCCATTGGGGGAAAAAACTGAATAGTCAAAAAGTTGAATTCAGGGCCGTCTCTTTATGGCTTCATATTTGTAGGTTTCAAAAACAGTGACTGATACAGACAAGGGTATTGTTGAAATGTCAAGTGCCAGAGCAGCCTATGCTCAATCTCAAGGTAGAGGGAGGGTGCTTTTTCTTGGTGGGTATGCAACTTGTTCAGCCTACCTCCACAGCCTAAGCTGCCTGCCATTCCACATCAGTAGTGATAGTTGTCTGTGGGACCTCAACTAGCCAGTGTACCTGCCTTTCCAACTGGTCAGAGCCTAGTGACAAATGCTGTAAACCAGAAGGTGATTGTAAGTCCTGTTCATCATCTAACATAAGTAACAACCAGAAGAACTTGGTTTATAATCTGCAGATGCCGAGTGCTCTTACTCTGTTTTTTTCTTACAGGGCTTCCCAAACTTAACTGTGTTTAAAATTCTTTTTATATGTTGGTAAATATAGCTGGCTGGCTGCCTATAGCAATCCATGATTACTCTTGCTGCTTGCTTCCAGAGCCCTGAATTGAATATCTGGCAGAGCGCAAAATAAATTATTATTCCCTCAAAGTGAGTCATCCAGAAGTTCTGCTGTCCAATGCACACACCTTTCAAACACACAAACACACACCCACACACACACATCCTTTGTACATTACTCGTTGGGCTCATGGTCCACTGTGCTTTGAAATTTGTACCTGCCTGTCCAACTGTATGGAGCCTGATGACAGATGCTAGGTTTGTAATTCCTTAATATTTAAATATTAGTGGCCCAGTGCACAAAATTTGTGCATGGGTGGGGGGGGGGGTCCCTCAGCCCAGCCTGCACCCTCTCCAATCTGGGACCCCTGGGGGATGTCCAACTGCAGGTTTAGGCCCAATTCCTGTGGGATCGGGCCTAAACCAGTAGTCAGATATTCCCCTCGTAATCCAGGACCGCTGGCTCCTAACTGCTCGCCTGCCTGCCTGCCTGATTGCCCCTAACTGCCTCTGCCTGCTGGTCTGATCACCCCTACCTTGCCCCCCTGCCAGCCTGATTGCTCCTACCTTGCCCCCCTATCAGCCTGATTGACCCTAACTTGCTCCCCTGCCAGCCTGATCACCTCAACCACCTCTGCCTCAGCCCCCGGCCTAAGCCACAGTCTGGCCTCCCTCTGCAGGAGGTGACCTGGTGGATCAGGGGAAGGCGTCACCCCCATCACCCCACTGCTGCTGCCACTGCCAGCCTGAGCCTGGGCCCTTCGCAGCTGCACCTCGGCCCTTCGCAGCCTCACATCCCCCAGCCTCACTGTGCATGTGCACACACCTGCTGCACATGCAGTCTCCTGCTGATCGGTCGTTACATGTGAGGGCATGATGACTATTTGCATATTAGCTCTTTATTATATAGGATAATGATCAGTATGACATGTGGGACATTTTATTTTTCTAAATTCCTTTTTGATGTGACTGAATCCAGATATCATTATATCATTATTAGGGGCCCAGTGCATGAATTTCTGCACCTTGAAAGGAACTGTAGGCTGCGAGGCTGCGGTGGGCACAGGGGCAGGTCTCGGCCCATCCTCCATGCTCCTGCCCCCGGCCCCTTCCGCCGCGGCCCCTGGTCCCCTGTCTGCCGGCAGCCCTGCTCCCGCCACTGTTACTCCTATGCACTGCCCCTGCTCGCACCCACTGATGACATGGAATGATTGGGGCCGGCACCAGCAGCAGGTGTGAACAGGGCTGTTGCTGTCAGTGGGTGCGAGAGGCAGCTGCTGGCCTCAATCGCCCCTCAGGAGCAGGGAGAGGTGGAGAAGCCTTGAGGGATGATTGGGGCTGGCAGCCGCCGCTCGCACCCATTGACGGTGCCGAGCAATCAGGGCTGGCACCGGGTGCCAGCAGCAAGTGCAAGCACCAAGTGGGACTGTGATGTGTGGGAACAAAGAATTTTCATTAACTACCAGGGGCTCACCGCGATGACAGCGACCAGTGCCCCGCCTTGGTATGATGCCCCCACTTAGCTACTCCATCATCCCACCACAACCAATGCCCGCCATGTACTGTGCATGCCCCCTGTTGTTTGGAACACGTCATAGCGATCAGTTGTTCAGTTGTTCCGCCTTTCAGTCTATTTGCATATTGGGGTTTTATATAACTAGCTGTACCAGTTAATAATGCGGATTTTTTTCAATAGATGGAGTTACACATATATTGATATATATGCGATTTGATATGTATGCTATTTTGTTGTATCGACAACAAGCTTCAAAAGTTCATGTCAAATTTTCTGCAGGTGTTAACATCATAGATATTTTTATGCTTAAAATGTTGAATTTCATGCCAAAAAAAGAGCATTTGCGAGAAGTTTTAATTCATTACTTTATTTTGAAGAAAAAGTTATTGTATACTTCAGGAAGCTTATGGTGAACATGCTCCATCTCAAGATACTTGTGAATGCTGGTTTAAATGCTTTAAAAGTGATGCTTTCTATGTGAAAGACAAAGAACATCCAAGTCAACTGAAAAAAAGTTGAAGACCAACAATTACAACCATTATTGGATGAAGATGCGTGTCAAATTCAATAACAACTTGCAGAAAGATTAAACATTGCTCAGCAAACAATTTCCGATCTTTTATAAGCAATGGAAAATATTTTAAAGGAAGGAAAATGGGTGCCACATCAACTGAACAAAAGACAAATGGAAAACCGAAAAGTCATCAGTAAAATGTTGCTTCAACGGCACAAAAGAAAGTCTTTCTTGCATCAGATTGTGACTGGCGATGAAAAGTGGGCTTATTTTGAGAATCCCAAATGCACAAAATCATGGGTTGATCCAGGTCAACCATCAGCATCGACTGCAAGGCCAAATCGCTTCAGAAAGAAGACAATGCTCTGCATTTGGTGGGATCAGGAAGGTGAAACTGTTAGTACCGACAACAAATAATCAATTTGAACCATGCTTTGATCTTAAAACGACCAGAATGTGCCAGAAGACAGGGCAAAGTAATTTTGCTTCATGACAACGCACCATCACACACTTCAAAACCAGTTAAAGACACGTTAAAAGATCTTGCCTGGGAGGTATTAACCCACCCACCTTATTCACCAGACTTTGCTCCTTCAGATTACCACTTGTTCTGATCAGTGGCACACACACTTTCTGAGCAGCACTTCAAAACATACGAAGAAGTAGAATATTGGGTCTCTGAATAGTCTGCCTCAAAACAAGGAAAGTTCTATTGGGATGGTATCCACAAATTACCTGAAAGATGGGGGAAATGTGTAGCTAGAGATGGACATTACTTTGAATAAAGCACTTTTGATGTTTCTCTTGAAATTATCGTGTTTTCTTTGATTACAAAATCCTCATTATCAACCGGTTAATGGTTAATCTGTATTATTAACTGGTTAATAGTTAATTTGCATTATTAACTGGTTAATAATTAATCTGCATTTTTAGCCAGTTAATAGTTAATCCGCATTTTTAAGTGGTTAATGACTAATCCGTATTATTAACTGGTTAATAATTAACCCAAATTATTAACCAGTTAATTAATCCACATCAGATCCTAAGAAGTCAAGGGAAACGCAGTAGTGTAGATGTGAGACCCATCAACATTGAGATGGGTTGGATGAGATGACTGCTGACACACAAAAGGGGAAAGCCCAGAAGACTATGAGCAGAAACTCGCTAAATTTCATGCATTAGGAGGATATAGAAAGGGAAACCAGTAAATGAGATCAAGATTTACTTAGAGCAGCTGTTACAAACCTGTAGCCTTAGAGCTATATTTGACTTGCAGATGTGTTTTGCAGAGCAGGCAAATTCCCTTTAAAATATGTTATTCAATATTAAAAATAGCAGAAAATGTAGAAATACTGGGCCCATATTCCTATGTTGGAATAAATGAGCTCAAACCTCTTGGGGGTGGGGGGTAGCCACTTTCCAGTTGGTCAAGGTCCCACCCACTCCTTGGAATTTCACCTGCTGAGACCCCACCTGCTTTCACCTGTGTGTTACTGGCCTGGCTCTGGGATCTGTGTTTGTGACTCCTGCTTCAGAAAGGTGGGAAAAGGTGAAAAGGAAATAGGAGAACTCAGATATTTCATTCCAGAGAAAGATGATTTTCAAGGGAAAAAAAAGATAATCACTCTCTCATATGCTGCTGCTTTAAAAGGAAAAGAAATAAATAAAGAATAAGCAAAGACTATGTGTTTTAAAACCTGGTAATTTTTAAAAAATATTCATTCAATGGATAGGAAATGACATGCAGGTTGAGATTAAAAAATGAATGGAAAGTTGGGAAGTAAAAATAACACCTGCAAAGTCTATAGCTTGACAACACAGGAAACAAAATCATTAACCCATTTCTTTCTCTGTCCAGAGAATGTTTAAAATATTTTTTGCTTCTTCAAGATACACAGTTCCTCCTGGTCAGCAGCCCATGCCCTTTGTCTGTTGATGAATCTTACTCATTCTTGAACCCTCTCAGTCTAGAAGGTCAGGTCCAATGGAATCAAGATAAGAATGATTCAGCCTGACCGGTTTGGCTCAGTGGATAGAGCGTCGGCCTGCAAACTGAAGGGTCCCGGGTTCGATTCCGGTCAAGGGCATGTACCTGGGTTGCGGGCACATCCCCAGTGGGGAGTGTGCAGGAGGCAGCTGATCAATGTTTCTCTCTCATTGATGTTTCTGGCTCTCTATCCCTCTCCCTTCCTCTCTGTGAAAAATCAATAAAAAATATTTTTAAAAAAGAATGATTCTGAATCCATGAGAGTTATTAATGTTGAAATAAAACCAAATACCTGCAACATTTAACTTTAAAAGAATATATACTAAATAGTTGTGCTGATAGATATTTGGAGAAGTAACCTTTTCATTCACTGTAGTTTTCTACTGTGAAGTTTTAACTTGTCTCCTATTCCCTTCCTCCCACATACACACATATACATATATTTATATTATGTATTCTAAGTCACAGTTTTTTGACATGTTAGCATCTCTAAAATTAGGAAGAGTTTCAAAACCCAGAGCAATATATAATTACCTTGTAACTTTCTAACATAGTCTATTTTCCAGGAACACAGTGAAGGAAACTGTCTGTGACTGTATTACAAATAATTTCTATCTCCTGGGTCCCGAAGGAGATA